ATCCACATCGTTAGGATGCTGGTTTCGCAGCTTTCACTGGTTTTGCAGCCTCTGGTTGGAAGCCAGAGTAAAAGTGTAAAACATCGAGGGTTAAGGCTGATTTTGCAAATCCAGAGTAAAACCTTAGGGCTTCCCTGGTGGCGCAGTGGTTGAGAGTCCGCCTGCTGATGCAGGGGACATGGGTTCGTGCCCCGGTCTGGGAAGATCCCACGTGCTGCGGAGCGGCTGGGCCCGTGAGCCATGGCCGCTGAGCCTGTGCGTCTGGAGCCTGTGCTCCGCAACGGGAGAGACCACAACAGTGAGAGGCCCGCGTACCGCAAAAAAAAAAAAAAAAAAAAAAAAAGAGCCACTGGGCCTCAACCCCTGCCAGCCCCACACCAACCTCCCGCCCCTTCTCCATAACTTCCCCCCACCCCTTCTGGCCTCCACGGGAGGCCCCTCACGCACATGGGATGGGAGTAGCCTTTGTGGAAATCGAAGCCCGTAACAGCCTGGGCACAGTCAATGTTCAGCTTTCGGGCCACGCGGTGCAAGTTGGGCAGGTTCAGCTGGACGCAGCCGACAGGCATCATGCCGGGCAGGAAGAGGTACACGTTGCCAAATTCGTTCCGGGGGACCTGCGGAGGGTGGCACACTGGGTCCGGCGGCCACAGAGGGAGGTGGCCTGGTACCGACTGAGCGTGGCCCTTACCTACCAGGTGGCCTGGTACCACTGAGCGCGGCCCTTACCTTCCCGTCCACAGCCACTGGCGGCTGGTACTCCTCGGTCTGCCACTTGCCAAACAGGCCCAGGTCATTGTAGTCCTGCAGTTGCGGCTCAGCCAGGCGGGCTCTCCGGGCCCGGTTGGAATAGCCTTTTACAACCTACACCCGAGGGGACAGCCACAGTTAGTAACGAAGGCAACCACTTCCTGAGCATTCACTGTACACCGGGCACTGTTCTCAGTGCTTCTGTGTATTCATTAATCTTTTCAACAAACCCAGGAAGTAGAGTCTATTATCGCCTCCATCTTACAGCAGCCTAGGAGGTGTAAACAGTTCACCTACAGTCACACAGCTTGTAGAGCGTGTGTCTTGAACAGCTATGCTGTGCTTGGTGTCCGTCACTGAAGGGGAAATTGGGACTCAGAGATGTTCCTGTGGCCGGTGAGTGACGGGGCCTGCTTTTGGCAGTGACCGGCTCCCCGTGCCTCAGCCCCTTCCCACCAACCAGAGGCCCCTGCACCCTGGCCCAGCTCCCTGGGTCTCACAATGCGAAGGGCTCCTCCGAGGGATCTGACAAAGAAAAGCGACTGTGTCTCATGACTGGCCACCGTCCTCCGCCGGCTGAAGCGGGCCCTATGTCCCGTGACAGCCTGTGTGGTCTGCACTGAATTCATGCGTCTGTGGGCAGCTGACCGGCTAGAGAGGGAATGAGGCATTGGGGCTGCACGCTGCCATCTCACTAGCTCAGGCCTTGGACAGGTTTCCCTTTCTGAGCTCCTGTTTTTTCATCTGTACAACGGGCATCCTGATGCTAACTCCTGTGAGACTCAGCAAAGATCACATACATGCAAAATGAAGGGACAGTGAGGGCGGGTGGGCCTGTCCACGCTAGGCAGGGCTCCGGCCTCTCAGAACAAATGGGTGACATGGTTCTGACCCACAAGGCCAAGGTTCTGACCCACAACACTGGGGCTTGGAGGGCTGCTTGCTGGCCTAGATTTCCTGTGTGCTCGGGAAGGCCCATCTCTTACAAGGTCCTCAGTAAAGATGCTCTTCTCCTCTGATCCTCTCAAGCCAGAACAGTCTGTCCCCAAGCGTGCGCGGCAGCCCACAGTCCCGCGGCTGTTACCTTGTAGGGCACTTCTCCAAGCCTCACCACTCGGGCCTGTTTCAGCCACGTGTCCTTGGAGTGCAGGGTGTGCACGCAGTCCCTAAGGAGCCAAGGGGAGACAAGACAGGGTTCACGCCCACTGAAGCACCCCGTGCCCAGTAGCCCGCAGGGCCCAGCTGCCTCCTCTGGCCCCCCAGGAGAAGGGGGAGCTCGGCCCTGGAGCGTCTCCCGGGGCACCAGGGGCCTGCGTCAGGCCCACGGTTAACAGGCACCTGCTGTCTCGCAGGGGGATGCATCCACTCACAAATCCCAAACTAAATGGCTTCCCGTGGTGCCTTCCCCCTCCTCCCGCCGAAGGGCCCAGCAGCCGGGGGCGGGGGGGGGGGGGGCCAAGCAGCACAGGTGCAAGCCCCCCAGGGTCTGGTCTGCTCCTGAATACCAGAGACGGGGAGGGAGGGGCGAGTGTCCAGAGAAGGGGTGGGGAAGCCAGAAGACAACAACACGGAGACTACAGTAAGCTGACAAAGTACACAGGTTAGGATGAATGCACACAGAGCAATCGGTTCCACCTGGCTCTGGCTTCGCTCTCCTTCCAGAGCTTAGAGCCACACCCTGCCTCACATTCCAGCTGCTTCCTGCTGAGCCTTCAGCAAGGCCCGCCCTTCAGTAGGGCTCCAAGGAGCAGGGGCACTAAGCTCCCTGTGGTGCGGACATCCGGCCCTTTGCCTGCCCCCGGGCTGAGGCTGACGTCCAGCACAGTGCACCGGACAGGGTCACACCTCCTCTGTGCCCCTTCCTAGCGGGGTGACCCCCGATCCATCCGGAACGGTGAGTGCTGCCTCCCTGCCTCACAAGCTGCTGGCGGGACCAGAGCCAAGGGCTCCACACGCGTACCCACCGCAGGGGCACATCTCTGCCTGAAAGAGCGACTGTCACAGTGGTGGTCTTCCGGGAGGAGCGGAGAAGGGGCAAGCAGGTGGGCATCGTCTGGACATTCATAAGGATAGCAGAGGGAAGTGGGCACAGACAGCCCGTTCAGAATAAATCTCAGCTTCTAACCACTTTACATCTATTAGGACACTACTCAAGAAACAAAACAAGAACTGGCGAGAATGTAGAGACAATGCGACCTTCATGCTCTGCTGGGGGACATAAAATGATGCAGCCACTGCAGAAAACAGTGCGGAGGTTCTTTACAAAGTTAAACAATCATCATGTGATGCAGAAATCCTACTTCTGGGCATATACATCCAAAAGGACTGAAAGCAGGGTCTCAAGAGATGTCTGTGCACCCATGTTCATAGCAGCACTAAAAGCAACAGCCAGAAGGGGAAGCAACACAAGTGTCCATCAATGCATGCCATGGATGCCAGTCACAAAAGGACAAATGCTGTAGGATCCACTTCTATGAGGTGCCTGGAGGAGTCAGATTCATAGAGACAAAGTAGAGGGTGGTTACCAGGGCCTGGGTGGGGGGAGGGGGGTTAGTGTTGATGGGGACAGTTTGGGAAGACAGAAAAGTTCTGCAGATGGTGGTGATGGCTGCACAACAATGTGAATGTACTTAGTACTACTGGACTCTTAAAGCGGTTACATGGTAAATTTCGTTCTGTATATTTTATTACATTAAAAACAGGAAAAGTCTGCCTCGAAAGCTTTCTCCAGGCAGGGACCCCCTTCCCACCAGATGTCCCCTGCACGTGAGGACACCTGTGCTGTATCCTCCATTGAGGTCGCCAGGCCCTGGACGCTGACTGTCGGCAGCTGGGCCCCTGACCAGCCAGGGGACAGAAAGCTCCCACAGTGACCCTAACCGGAGGGTCAGGGATGACTCCCTTCGGGGCTGAGCTGCAGGAAGTAGCTCTCAGGCAGAGGACTTGAGCCACCTACTCCTGTGAGTTTCCCTAAGTTTCCTTTTCTGTCTTCCTTTTCTCATTTATTAAGAACATCCTCTATTTTGTGGTCTTGCATCTTGGTCTTGGTCTTTTTAGAGTTTCTAAAAATCACTTATTTTCTTTCTATTAACATTTCTTCCATTTCTTCCATTGTTAATGCTGACTCACCTTAAGTTTATTACATTTTTTCTCAGTTTTAACTTTGTATATATTTTGTTTTCTATGCTGTTCCCTTCCCCCCTTCTTTGGCAATGTTTTTACTGTGGGGAAAAAACACACATAAGATAAAATTTACCCTCTGAACCATTTTCCGAGTCTACAGCTCAGTGGCATCAAGTACATTCATACTGTTATGTAACCGTCACCACCATCATCTCCAGAACTTTCTCCTCTTCCCAAACTGAAACTCTGTCCCCATTAAAATATCTGCTCATTTTAAGTTTCATTATCAAATCCTTTATTCCTTCCTTTTGCATGTTTTTTGACTTCTGTTTTGGGGGGTGTTTTCTTATTACCCCATATAATCCTTATCTGTCCTACTATCTTTCCCCCCATAGCTTTTCTCCCCCTGCTGATCTTTTTTTTTTTTCTATTTATTTATTTATTTTTTGCGGTACGCGGGCCTCTCACTGTTGTGGCCTCTCCCGTTGCGGAGCACAGGCTCCGGACGCGCAGGCTCAGCGGCCACAGCTCACGGGCCCAGCCACTCTGTGGCATGTGGGATCTTCCCGGACCAGGGCATGAACCCGTGTCCCCTGCATCGGCAGGCGGACTCTCAACCTCTGCGCCACCAGGGAAGCCCCCTGCTGATCTTGTAATCCCCGTGGTTTTCATTTCCAGGCCGCAACCTCTCTGCCATGCCCCCCGCCCACAAACGGCATGCGCACACCGTGAAGCTCGAACCCCAGCCCGGCGAAGGCTGCTAATCCCAGGCCGCCGGGCGACTCCTCACCTGGAGTAGACAGCCTCTCCGCGGCAGTACCCGAGGATGGCGGCCGTCTCGGGGTAGATGGCCTCGTACTTGAGGAGGTGCCTCTTGAGGGCGTACAGAGGGTGGTTCTTGTACATGCCTATGACGGTGGGCAGAGGCTGGTCCAGGTGCCTCGCCTGAAACTGCAGAGGCCGAGAGACGACGTTGGGCGTGGTGCTCGGAGAGGGAGGGAGGTTGGCGGCGACCCCCGAACTTGCCCAGGTAACTGACGGTGCCGTGGGGCTTTCGGGGCCCCAGGGCCGCCGCACCATGCTGTGACCTGGCGTTCTGTCCCACGGGTTTAGGTGCCTCGGAAGCTCTGCAGGGGCCGGTAATCCTGCAGCTCGCAGCAACAGAAAAGTCAGCCCTACCCTCTGACACCTCGGCCGGCCCGAGCAGAGCCTTCCTCGGGAGGAGGCCTCACCTCAAGTGACACCACAATTCTGTGACACGGGTTCAGCGGCTCGACTCCCCCGGAAACCAGAATGAGCACTCACACCTTCTCCGTCCACTACGATCAACACATGTTCTCCCCGCCGCCTCAAGGAGCCTAGCTCTTCGCAGGCAAGCCCACTGCTCTCACCTGCATCCCACTCACCAGGTCTCCTGCATTTCCCCGCAGCATCTCTTCAAACCCCGACAGACAAGGGAGGAGCGGCAAGTGGGGAGCAGGAGGGACCCCGCTTGGCCAGCTTGCATGACAAGCCCTTGAACCAGGTCAGTCACAACACGCTCTGCATGACTCCCACGACCCTGTTACCTCTGAGCCACACCCTGAGCGATGCAGTGCAGAGGGACGACTCCCTGCCCCGGGGAAGTGGGAATAATTCTCTAGCAAGTCTGCCCACCCTGCGCTGTGGGCAGCCCTGCACAAGCCCCCGGCCCTCTTCCGGGCCCACGGCTGTCCCACGACTCAGGGACGCGCTGCTGCTCCAGAAGCCGCCCCCCAGGGTGCCCCTCAACAGACAAGCCATCTCCTCAGCCCTCCTCCTGGGAGCTGAGTGTGCCGGGTCGGGGCAGGGGTGCTGGCGTGCACACCTCTGCGCGTGTGCACGCTGAGAAGGGGGACCAATTATGTTACTGCGCGTTTTCCTCTTTCACTCAGGACTACTTACCTGACATAAAGCTCCAAATTTATAACTGGGCAATAACTGAAAGTACACAGGCTTTGAAGCCAGAGCAACCTGGGTTCAAATACCAGGTTGGCTCATCTCTCAGATTCTAAACGTTTAGCTGGTAAAATTAAGGCTACGATAACCCCAGCTTTGTACTGTTGCTGTGACAATTAATTGAGGTAAAAACACAACACGGGGCTGGGCATCCAGCAGGTGCACGTGCACAAGGCCTCACCTCCTGGTCCTCCTTCTGCTCCCTCTCCACCAGCGGGCTCTGGTAGGGTCGCAGGGTCTCGGCCCACCACGCGGCATCAACCCGGCACTTTCGGGTCACCGTCATCCAGGCAGGGTCATACCTCTGTGTGACATCGCGCAAGCAGCCGTCGCTGTCGATGCCCACGATGTAGGTCACAGGCTTGGTGGCATACTGGTAGCAGGTCAGGGGCTGGCCCACTACACCGTGCACACAGTCCACGCACACCCACTTCTCCTCCTGCTCAGAGAACACCTCCAGCCACTGGTCCACACCAGCTGCTCTCCGGCCGTCTGCTTCCTCACCATCCACGGGCATCTTACGCTTGCCTCTCTTACGCTTACTGCTGGAAGCGCTTACAGACGCTTCTGGAAAGCCAGGGGGCTGACCGTCGCTTCCACGCTGGGACCTGGACTCCCTCTTGGACCCCACCTTCATCCTCTGAGGGGCGGCGGCCCTCCTCTGCCTTGGAAGGCCTGGCTCAGAATCCTCGTCGGATGGGCGATGGCTGTCCGAGCTGGAGAGCTCAAAGTCAGAGCTGCTGCTGGCCTTGTCACTCCCGCTCTCCTCTTTGTAAGACACCCTGGCGGCCGCCTGCCGCTCCCGGCCCCGCGAACGCCTCTGGGTCCCCTCCGTCTGCCCCCCGGCCTTGCCCTCTTCTTTCCTGCTGGAGGAGGGCTCTCTCCGTTTCTTCCTGGTGGCAGCCGCCTTGCTCCCCTTCGCTTTGTCAGGTGCACTGCCAGTGCCCTCAGAAGACATGTCCTCTCGTCTGCTTCCTCTGCTGGTCTCTGGTTTGCTTGGCTTTCCAGGAACTTGGCTGGAAGTTTCTGAGGAGCCTCCAGGACCCTCTGTGGATCTCTCCTTGGAAGGTTTCTTTCCCTTAAACAGAATAGGAAATTTTTGTGTTTTCTTTTTTTGCTAGTGATGCAATAAAGACTCTGGCATCTAATGGGGCTAAGTCACACTGGAACACCAGCGTACACAAGACATTCCCGGCTCAGACAGTGACAGGCTGGCTACCCTCCAGGATTGTAAGAAAGCAGTCACTAAATTCTGCAGCTCCTTAAATAAGGCCACACTCTAATTCTTTTCAATACAAAGTGTAGCACAGGGAAAAGAGCACAGGATGTGGAAACAAACCCGGGTTCAAACTCCACTTCTGCTTTCTCATTTTTTATGTGATTCAGATAAATTATGTAACTTCTGAGTCTCAGTTTCCTCAGCAATAGTACTCACCTTGCACATAAGGCATTTTGCAAACAAAGTCACAGCATTAAGAATTCAGAAATTATTAAACTTGACTCCTGGACCGAATTTCGGACAATGCCAGCACCCCAAGGAGCACAGTGTTCAGCCTCCTTGGATGATGGCAGAGCTCTGAGTCCTCACCGTCCTCTCTCCGCACTGCTGAGGATGACCAGTACCTTTTTATTCTACCATTTACAGAACAGAAACCAGAGCACGAAGGAGCCCAGGCTCTCGCAGGCCCCTCTACGCACGCAAAGCCCGGCTGCTAGATACCCACCCAGGCGCCCAGTCTTCCCAGCACAGGGCCTGTGCCAGGCAGGCTCAGAGGAACCCTGGTCCACGAAGACTGATTTTTAAAAATCGTCTAATGAGCAGATCTGTTTGCTCTAAGTCTCATAATTTCTCACTCCTCCCTGACCAACTACTCTTTTCTCTGAAAGCCCCGGGAACCTCACCTTCGCTGCTGATAACTTCAGAGGAATTGGCTGTAGAGACAGTACAAGTCGGGTAGGGAGATGTAGGGCCCGGAGAATCAGTAAAAATATCTATGATGAAAAAGAACAACATGCTTATCCTCAGGGAAGAATGAAGCATTTGCATAATTCCAAGCTGTTTGTTGTGGTGCCTATTTATAAAAGGGAAACAACCAACTTGTCTAACAGTAGAAGCCTGGAACCCTCAACACTATTAAAATGATGCTGTAGAGATTTATCTTTGTAGAAAAATGGGGAAAGGTAACCATATATTAAAGGAAAATAAATGTTTGCTTTTTAATGAGTTATGTTAATTTTTGTAAGAAAAAATCGTGTCCAGACATAAACATGTATGTGTATTTGGAAAAGCACCCATATTGGGTTATGGGTGTTTATAGGTGTTTGGTTTTTTTCCAGCTTACCTATCTTCTGATTGTTCTGTTTTCAACATGTGTTTGTGATAAAACAGTAAAGCAAAATACCACTTCGAGAGAAAAGGCATCATCATCATCAGGCCCGAGAAGCCCTCCCATGCACTCAACCTCCCCAGAGCGAATATTTCAACCAGAGGCTGCAGCTCTAAAAATTCTGTGAACTTGGAAGGATGGGAGCCTCCTCATGGGAATTAACCTCCAAAACAACAACAGTGGGACAGCACGTGAGCAAGATCTTCCCACACAGACCTCAGGGTCCTGGCGTCCTCATGAATCACTATAGTCATCTTCCCTCCTCGGAAAGCAAGAGCAAAAGTCAGAAACAGGAAGGCAGGTTTTCTGTGAAAAGCCAGTTATATTGAAAAAAATAACTACTTTTGCCTTGTTTCTTCTGGAGTTAAAAATGGCGGATGAGAAAACATCAAAGAAACCCAAATTGAGGAACTCTACAAAATTCCTAAAAAGCACTCCTCAGGGGCGCTGGGGTGACAAGATCACTAATGCCTGGACTGCATCCTGGGACAGGAAAAGGGCATCAGTGGGAAAACGTGGAAAACAGAACTCACCCCTACAGTGTGGCTGACCACACGCTCTTAACTGGCACAGTGCACACCATACGAGTGTTGGTTGGCTCCTCACTTTCTCTGTGTGTGGGTGGTGCAGGGGCACGGGTGTAAAAGGCAGGGAAACCGAGCACCAGCAGGCGGCTGAATGATGGTTTAAACCTAGAACCTCCATCCGGAACATCCCCACCTCGCCCTCCTCACAAGACCACAGGGAAGACTGAATAAGGTCAGGTACACGACAGCACTCTGGAAGCGATCTTGTGCCTCACAAAGACGCGTGGTCACCACCTTTCACAAGTACGTCACTGAAGAAAAAATTTAAGTTACAAAACTGTATGACCCCTACACTAAATACAAGGTGAGCCAAGTGAAAAGGACGAATCCTAGAAACATACAAATTACCAAAACTAACTCAAGAGAAAACAGAGACTCTGAGAGACTGAGTCAAAAATCAAGCCCTCCCAATAGAGGGGGATCAAGACAGCAGAGTATGAGGACGTGGAGCTCACCTCCCCCCACAAACACACCAAAAACACATCTACACGAGCAATAACTCCCACAGAAAACTAACTGGAAACTCACAGAAGATCTCCCATAACCAAAGCTGCAAGAAAGATCTCCATGTAATTGGGTAGGATGCAAAAAAGAAAGGTACCAGGTTGGGACCGGCACTCCTGGGAGGGATCTGTCAGGAAGAGAAGGTGTCCGCTTGCCCTGGGGAGTCCCCTTCCTGCTGGGAAGCCCACTGAGACAGACAGGAGGGCTGGAGAAGCCTAGACTCTACTCAAGAGGAGCATGCGGGCTGGCTTGCTAACAACCAGGACAGAGAGACCTGCCCTGGTGGTGGCCGCCTCCCCGCACTTCCCAATTCAAAGGGGCGAATGCCCTGGCCCCGCTCACTCCACACCACGGCCTGGCGTGAGATCAGTGCAGAGACTGGGTCTAGCCGCACAGAGGCAGACGGGGTGCCTAGGATGTGATCCAGGTGGGACTGTGAAGACTCCCGTCAGTGCACACACAGGGGCGACGGGGCACGCTGGGAAGACAGTGTCAGCGCATGCCACACGTGGCACCTCAACAAGGTGCAGCAGCTAAGCAGTGAATTTCATGTAGAACCTACAAGATGCTGCCACGAGAAACTCGCTTCATGGCAAAAGACGCACACAGACTGAAAGCGAAGTATGAAAAATACTTCATGCAAATGGAAACAACAAGCAAGCGGGCACAGCAATACTTAACAAAAGACAAAGCAGACTTCAAAACAAAGACCATACAGAAAGACAAAGAAGGACATTACATAACAATAAAGGCATCAATACAACAGCGTATTACACTTGTTAACATATACGTTTCCAATACAGGAGCACCTAAATATATAAAACAAATATTAACAGACGTAAAAGGAGAAATTCACAGGAATACAATAACAATAGAGGACTATAACATCCCACCTACATCAATGAACAGATCATCCAGACAGAAAATCAGTATGGCAACAGAGGTCCTAAATGACACAATGGACCAACTGTACTTAATAGATATCTACAGGACACTAAATAAGAAAAACACCAAATATACATTCTTTTCAAGCCAGCAAGGAACATTCTCACGGATAGACACATACTTGGTCACAAAACAAGCCTCAACAAGTTTAAGAGGACAGAAATATTTTCAAGCATCTTTTCTCACCACAACGGTAAGAAACTAGAAATCAACCATAGAAAGGAAAACAGGAAAAGAACAAACACATGGAGACTAAACAACATGTTACTAAAAAGCAAGTGGGTTGATGATGAAATCAAAGAGGAGATCAGAAATATGTTGAGACAAATGAAAATAGAAACACAATCTTACAAAATCTATGGGATGCAGCAAAAGCAGTTCTAAGAGGGAAGCGCATAGCAATACAGGCCTTCCACAAAAACAAGAAAAATCTCAAACAAGATAACCTACAAACAAGATAACCTACAAACAATCTCAAACAAGATAACCTAAAAGAATGAGAAAAAGAAGGACAAACAAAACCCAAAGTCAGCAGAAGGAAGAAATAATAAAGATCAGAGAGGAAATAAAAGACATCAAAAAAGCAATAGAAAAGATCAATAAAACCAAGAGCTGTTTTTGTTTTTAAGATAAACCAAATTGATAAACCTCTAGCGAGGCTCACCAACAAGAAGAGAGAGAGGACCCAAATAAACAAAATAAGAAATAAAAGAGAAACAACTGAAACCACAGAAAAACAAAAAATCATGAAAGAATACAAACAGTTATATGCCAACAAATTGGACAACCTAGAACAAGTGAACAAGTTTCTAGAAACATACAGCCTGTCAAAACTGAGTCAAGAAGAAACAATTTGAACAGACCATTCACTGGAAGTGAAATACAACCTATAATTTAAAAAACTCCCTGCAAACAAAAGTCCAGTACCAGAGAGCTTCACTAGGGAATTCTACCAAACATACAAAAAGACAAAAACAAAAACTTAAATCTATCCTTCTCAAACTATTCCAAAAAAATGAAGAGGAGGGAACACTCCGAAATTCATACTATGAAACCACCATTACCCTGATACCAAAACCAGACAAAGACACTTACAACCCCAAATCTTTGATGAATATAGATGCAAAAATTCTCAACAAAGTATTAGCAAACTGAATCCAACAATACATACTAAGGATACCACACTCAAGTTGGATTCACTCCAGGGTTGCAAGGATGGTTCAAAATATGTAAATCAATCAATGTGATACACCACATTAACAAAAGAATAGATAAAAATCACATGATCATCTCAATAAATGCAGAAAAAGCATTTGACAAAATTCAACAACGATTCATGATAAAAATTCTCACCAAAGTGGGTACAGAGGGGACATAACTCAACATGATAAAAGCCGACCATGTCAAATCCACAGCCAACATAATACGCAACAGTGAAAAACTGAAGGCTTTCCCAATAAATTCAGGAACTAGACAGGGATGTCCACCCTTGCTGCTTCTATTTAACATAATATTGTAAGTCCTAGCTACAAGAAAAAGAAATAAAAGGCATCCAAATTGGAAGGGAAAAGGTAAAACTATTACTATTTGCAGATGACATTATATTCTATATAGAGAACTCTAAAGTTTCCACATAAAAACTATTAGAACTAATAAATGAATTCAGCAAGGCAGCAGGATGTAAGATTAATATACGGAAATGTACTGTGTTTCTATACACTAACAATGAAATAATCAGACAGAGAAAGTAAAAAAAGCAATCCTGTTTATTAAAATTGCATCCCCCCCCAAAAAAAACCCAAAAAAACCCAAAACACAAAACCTAGGAATAAACTTAACCAAGGAAGTAAAAAGATCTATTTGCTAAAACCATAAAACACTGATTAAGGGAACTGAAGATGATTCAAAGAAATGGAAAGATATCCCATGCTCTTGGATTGGAAGAATTAATATTGTTAACATGAACATACTACCCAAAGCAACCTACAGATTTAATGCAATCCCTATCAAAATACCCATGACATTTTTCACAGAACTAGAATAAATAATCCTAAAACTTATATGGAACCACAAAAGACCCAGAACTGCCAAAGCAATCCTGAGGAAAAAGAACAAAGCTGGAGGCATAACCTTTCCAGACTTTATACTATACTACTATACTACTATAGTAAACAAAACAGTGTGGTGTTGGCATAGAAACAGACATATAAATCAAAGGAACAGAATAAAGAGCCCAGAAATAAACCCACACACGTATGGTCAACTAATCTATGACATAGGAGGGAAGAATATACAATGGAGAAAAGACAGTTTCTTCAACAAGTGTTGCTGGGAAAATTGGACAGCTACATATAAAACAATGAGATTAGAACATTCCCTCACACCACATACAAGAATAAATTCAAAATGGCTTAAAGACCTAAATGTAAGATCTGAAACCGTAAAACTCCTAGAAGAGGGCTTCCCTGGTGGTGCAGTGGTTGAGAATCTGCCTGCCAATGCAGGGGACACAGGTTCGAGCCCTGGTCTGGGAAGATCCCACATGCCGCGGAGCAACTAGGCCCGTGAGCCACAACTACTGAGCCTGCGCGTCTGGAGCTTGTGCTCCGCAACAAGAGAGGCCGCGACAGTGAGAGGCCCGCGCACCGCGATGAAGAGCGGCCCCCACTCACCGCAAGTAGAGAAAGCCCACGCACAGAAACGAAGACCCAACACAGACATAAATAAATAAATAAATAAATAAAAATTAAAAAAAACCCCACAACTCCTAGAAGAGAACATAGGCGGAACACTCT